AAAGCTGCGATTAAAGACTGTTTGAACTAGTGATGAGATCTTTTGCAGAGAGCGAAGAATCGAGGAAGCCACAGACTCTTTGAAGAATCGATTGAAGCCTTTTGCAAAGGCGATATAAAGCTACGCGGCTTCCCTTTTGTCTCTGTGCATTGAGGAAGCGCTCAGAAAGCTTTTAAGCATTCAATAGATCGATATTGTCTGACTAGGAAGTACCATTATCTGTACATAAGACAAAAAAAAACGTGCAAAAATTTTAGTGAAGAAATATGATTTTAATATTTGATTTAGCAGAACTTTTTTAAACTGGACACGTTGAATTTTGAACGAAAATAACTTTTCTTTGCAAATTTTCCTGGACGAATACTGCACATAAATGGACCATTATTCTGAGAAGATGTAAATGGAAAACTGACGGAAAAATCTCTCTGTGGAATGTCCTGCGTATTTTTCTTTTCAAGATACAAACCAGACTCAGGATGGTGTCAAGCTGATGTTACCATTTATTATTAACCGCTTATTTTTCAAGTTCCTTTTAAGGAACTCTGTCTGCAAGATTCAACTCGGAGTATAAGTTATTTATTTCGTGAATTGTTGTGGAAAAACATTGGAAGTTATTTAGTAGCCCGCACAAAACTTTGAAAAAAAACGCTGTGGACAAACAGGTGGTTTTTCCGACGTTTGTTTATTTTTATTTTCGCGCATGCTAAAAGCGCCGGAGTTCCATCGTCAGTGGTAGCGTCTGAGCGAGGTTCTCTACGATTGAGAATGACACTGGAATTCTTTGTGAGAGTATCAGCAACCATGATGCGCTCGTATTTTATGAAGGGAAAGAAGCAGAAGTTTGGTTCGACCCTATCGACGGTAATCGATGTTTGTATTACTTGCAATTCTATTTTAATAGAATTAAAAATATAATTACTTTTTATACGAACTGTCCAATAATAATTTACATATTATCAAATTCTAATAATGTAATAAGAACTGGAATATATTTTTCCTTACTGTGTTCAACTTAACCGACAAAAATCGAAAATTGCAGATTACATAAGAACAATATTAATACAAATTTAATTGGTAATAAGTACAATAGTATTATCTACAATAATTAATAATAGTAATTATCTACAATAATAATCAAATAATGATGAAAGCTATGCAATATGTCATTCACCAGATCTGCTTTCACACTATCGATATCGCGTTAATCAATTAATATTGTTTATTCACGCTTATCAATGCTATCAATGAGCAGTTATAAGCGCGCTTGGTCAATCTGCGGTAGAATGGCGCGTACATTTCGCTCAGTATCGATCGCAATATTGCATAGCCCAATGCGAATCCAGATGAGTAGACGCTTATATCAAGCTGACCTCTTACGCTCACAAGGCCGTATATCTCGCTGTAAATGGGAACTAGGCTTCGACAGAAGCTTTTAAAATGGATTATGAATTAACGCACTCTAACGCGACCTCATTTTCAAGCGGCCACTGCGAAACGCGTGTTTCACGCAATATGGAAACGTATTCAATCTACGTATTATAGTCTAATAATATTAATGATTTATGGCGTCAATATTTGATGAAAACAGTTTGGGGAACAAATGTTATTTGACTCTCGATAACTCATGAAGAAACACCGCTATATTAAATTATATTGTGTTATTGAAGTCCCAATATAATAATAGCGCACTGAATAACCGTCAATTTATTTCTGTCGCATAAGGCATTTTCACAAAAGGTACACACAAAAATTTTCTATTTTATTATTAATCGCTAAACTTACCACGAAGAATATGCATTGCACGAGAACTCCAGAAGCTGTCGTAAAAGCTCCCTTATCATTACAGAAGAGCCGCGGATATATTTTATTTGCACGCGTCGAGTACATATTTACGTGGGGAATGACTTCGCCGTGAGTCTGCAAATATTAAATCTGGCTATGAAGGAGTTTGGCCATCGCAAAGGAACGCGTAGTCGCGAATTGCGACTCATTAATTACTACCTTCTGGATTCATACGGAAATGCTTTTTAATTTTAACACTCAGTCTTTCTCATAATTATTTGAGCATACAATTTTAAATATATCTCCATAATTAAACATTCTTAGAAATCATCTTTAAAACGCAGTAGATCGAGCGAGAAAATAATCCCTCGCTATCTTTTCAAAACACACAAACGCACGCAATTTTACAACATACGTTATTAATCATTAATCATCGCCTTTATAATTTTTATAATTCTTTGCGTTCACAGTATTTTAGCCAGATTTTCTTCTACGCTATTTTCGTTGGTTTGTTAAACGCTGAGAGATAATGATCAACGTAGTAATTATTTCATAATTCCAGGTCACGGCGTGTGGTAACCAGCTAATATTACTCGCTTATATTCTCCTTCGCGTATTCGATTACTTCATCTCTATTACAGGTGAAGCGTCTTGGATCGATGAGAAATTCCGTACCGCTAATATATCTGCATAAATGATGTTACTAACCCATTGCAATTAAGTTATTTATTACGTTAGGAAAATTCTCCCCATCTTTTAATATCCACTACTTACTAAATTACTCCCTCAACTTTGTATCTGAAATTTATCCCAGTATATCGGAAATACTTTGACTAAATTTAATCCAGAGAGAAACGCACAAGAACAATTAGAGGAAGAAAAGACGTTTATTTTGAAAAGAGTAACATAATGTTATTTTGACAATAAGTTGATTAAGTTCCATCGAATTTTAAATTTTGTTAGTATTTTTCTATTTTTCGAGAGGTTTTTTCACATGTTTAGAATTTTGTCTACAAAAATTTATCGCGCTGCATGAAGGACGATGTAAATTCTTGTAATATACTCCGGGTCATTGGAACGGGGTCATCCTCACAACCCTTCTCACCTCTGATACCAGGTGCATGAATAAAACATGATCCACCTGAATTTACATTCTCACAGCTGTCTCTGACGAGCCAAACAGCAAGTTTCTACTTCGCCTCCCATGACTCGCCTGACTACACATTTTCCAACAGATGGATAATAAAAAAAATCAATATGAAGGCAAAGAAGAAACTCGAGTTGTTTTCTTCTTTTCTCTTGAAAATATCATAAACATATGTCACATTTTCTAATCTAAAAAAATGTATCATATTTTAAACAAACAATGATATATATTAATTTGTAACACAAAGATAGAAAATTGAAAATGAAATAGATTACGTCGTAAATGAATTCAATCAATTTATGCGAACGTGGAGCGTAACGTTGATAAATATCTCAATCACCATGGAGTGCTCGTAATAACGTAATTGTAGAACTACGTAATGATGTCGCTTGTCTAACGTTCCGTTCTCGCGCAATGTGTATCCCATTTTCTATTTTTATCCGCTTATCCGTCGCTTATCGGCAGGGGGTTGATAATAATAAATCGACGATACAGGGGACGAAGAACGGGGGAGCAAACTGCGACTTTTCTCCGGGTAGGATCGTCAGTGCGCGTTACGAGCCTCTTGAGCACGGGTTATCGTTCTCGACCTCCGACGCTTCTTGTTAGATCAAACGACCTCCGATGGCTCTCGACGACTCTAGTGTTGCGTCTGCCCCGACACTCCACAGGCCGAAATACGCTGGCTAAGGGTGTGACGGCGGTGCTACCCTAAGTCGTGCACCACTTCTCGCGACCAGGCAGCCAGGCAACCCCGAGCCAATCGAACGAACGCCTCCCTTCGTCCGGCCGCATTGCATCAGTGTTAAGCTGGCGCTCGGGCGGCACTCTTCCGGTTCTTCCCGCACTCCACTTTCGCACGCCGTAAACAAGCGATTTGGAGTGCCGCGAGGGAGAGAGATCGATAACGCAAAATATTAATCGCGCTTCGGGAAAGCTTCGCAGACCCGTCGATCTGGTTTGCCCTAAACTGAACGTGCCTCGCATCCACGGCGCACGAAATTTTCAACCAATGGTCGATAGTGTTGCTCCCGTTAGTGTTTACGGCGTTGCTACGTTTAGTGAATTACCTCTGTAAATCGATTGCGCTATTATTGCCGCCGGGTGTCGAAGTTCGTTGAAAAGCGCGACATTTCAACGACGGTCGCCGCATTATGACGGGATTGAGCACGATGCTGTGGCGGAATCGCGGATTACGACGACAACAAAGTGGTTAAGCTCCTGCTCGAACACGAAGCCAGATGTTTTAAAGCCGCTCGGGCGCTTACGATCATAATATATATCGCGCGACTCGTGTAATAGCGGAAAACAACAACGGATAACAAGTGGGCGGAAGAAAAATTCATCAGCTCGCAAACGCGATGCTTCCGGAAGTGTGGAACAACGTTGTTCGATAGATCCGTTTTCGTCCGGATCGGGTGGTCGGATCGTGTTAACGAAATGGATGCGTCGGAAATTTTGGAGTAAACTGCTTCTCTCAGGAAGACTCGCGGTTGCGCCGCATCGTCTTACGTCTTCACCGATCGGTCTCCGGTGTACGCGCGCGTCTTAAATGGCAGAGAGTCCAATAAGTAACTCGAAACGCTTCTGTGCTAGACAGGTCAGCAAACAATCTTGCCCGCAGCCGTTTCCGTGTTCCCTTCTCTGTGTTATGTACGTGATGTAACCAGCGCGAACACCCATCCCGCCCCGCGCCCGGCATCCAATAAGTGTGTTTTATCACGATGCACTTTAGTGCGAACGATGTTAAACGTGTTACGCTATAACAATATTTTGACAGTGTTACCAGAACGTTCACTGCAAAATACGGGCGGTGATACTGATGGAAAACCATTTCCCGTTATTCCTCTCAAGCGTGACGTAATTTCATACAGATAGGATCTTCCGCCCGAATTACGTTAAATTTATATAACATGGATTTTTTTTCTCTTGTTCCTCACGAAACATTTTTATTTTGTGTCTCTCCGGATTTCAACAATTTAAAAATTAAATTTTAAATTAAATTAAAAAAGGAAATTTAAGAAAATATTAAACGTGTATTTGTTTAAAATATTGATATGCTTTATTGTAGGTACTGTCCCTCGGAGCAGACGTCCTCCCGGAGTACAAATTACAGTCCCCCAGAATCCACAAGTGGACCATACTACATTATTCGCCGTTTAAGGCGGTCTGGGATTGGGTTATATTGCTGCTTGTGATGTACACAGCTATATTTACGCCGTACGTCGCTGCCTTCGTTCTGTCGGATCCGGATTACAACAGCAGAAAGAACAAGAAATATGGTGATGACCCCATCGTTGTCATAGACTTAATAGGTAAATTAATTACTAAAGTTTATTTTTGCCTTTATATTTTATCGTTACCTTTTATTTAATTTTTATCATAAAAACTCTAGTAATATCAAAAGTAGACAAAATTTTTATGATCCACAAATTTACATTGATCTATTAATTATTAATAATAAGCAATGTATAATAGTAATCCGTTTTTGTAATTAAATAAATTAATAATAGTTTAACGTTTTAATTGCTATTTTTATAAAGAAGAAATCTCTGAAATTCACTGAAAAATATTAAAGCGATATTATCCGATACCAAAACATAAACACTTTAGAGTAAGTTCTAAATTTGATATCGACATCCGAGCAGTTGTATAACGTTTCATACAATGTAGCTAGGACACGGATAATATGCGTCACGACTATATGAAACAATAAAGCGGATAAAGAGACAATAGCTCGAAAGTAGAACGAACAGAGAAGAAATCGAAGAAACGCTCAAACAGACAATTCTAGAGATATTATCTCCCGTATTACTGCAGCTCGAGGATCAATTTTAACATTTTCGAAAATGCATTCGGTATTATCAGGCAAATAAATAAAGTTAACATTAACGTGACGTAATTTATTTTAATACGATAAAGAATTTAGTGAATTATATTTGATAGTTATGAAACGTCAGTTTCAGAATATTGCGCGTTTTGACAGATAAATGGCGCGTAGCGCGTACCTTTTCTGGTATTGGAAAATTATTGATTACTTTCTGGGCTATAATACAAAACGCATTTTCACTTTTCAGTCGATGTCACCTTTATTGTGGACATCATCATAAATTTTCGCACGACGTTCGTCAACAGCAACGATGAAGTGGTGTCCCATCCTGGTAAGATAGCCGTCCATTACCTGAAGGGTTGGTTCATCATCGACTTGGTGGCTGCCATTCCCTTCGATCTCTTACTCGTTGGCTCGGATACTGACGAGGTAAGTTCCGTCGCACGCTTCGTATTCTCTAGATACCTTTCTTCCAAGCCAGATCTGGTGTTTACGGGATCATCTCTTACGCCAGTTTGTAATTCTTCGCGAGAGCGAGCACAAATTGTTTTGCTCGCTCGAAAAATATTAAAAATTCGTGATATTTAGTAGAGCCGTTGCATTAATCTACAAAAAAAAGAATAAAAAAAGACTGCAACTAATAGCAACAAAATGATTTTTTCCTTCAATGTAAGAAGTGACGCTCGCGGACGCCAGATCGCCGGGCGAATTTTTAGAATGTCGGTGTTAGCTGGTAAATATAATTAGGGTGACATGCCGAGCCCAAGTTACGTGCCCATAGATGTGACTTTACCGGACTGGTGCTTAGTTCATTTCTCCCTATTTTCGACCATTTCTCTCGGTGTTGAATGATTTCGTTTTCCTTTTGTCGAGAGTTTTAGTCGAATCGTCGTGTTAATGTGCACACAATATATGCGTACGGACGAGCGAGAACGTTCTAATTCTGTGGTTTCTCACTGTCCGGAACGATTTTACACAACGTTGAACGTGTGCTACACGTACGTCGAGAATCAATGAAAATTCGCACGATGGAACCCGGTTTTCATTTTAGCATCCAGATGCGCGTTACGTCAGTAGGCAGAATAGGCATAATAGACAGAATTAAAGCCGAACGGATCAACGCGCGCGGCCAAGCGACATTTAATATCAATTATGCAAATCCTGTAACGCCAAGCGACATGTGTATGACTTAACATGAGTGAACGATCCCTTTGTCTCGAGAACCGACTCGTACCTGTACGCACACGTACGCATACACTCTTCATAAATATGTAAGTAATTATAGTCTGTCGCTGTGAAAATTTCTGCTCTGATTGTCAAAGTATTAGACTCTATATCAGATCCTCGTTAAAATTCTCTTCTACTCTTTTCTTTTCTTTTTTTTTTTTTTTTTGATCGTGTTTTTCTTTTATTCGTTTTTCGTTTAAATGATTCTTTTGAACTCTCTTTCATGAGTTGATTTGTCTCTCCCTCGGTTTGTAAACAATACCGATTGTTAATA